GACCAACCTATCAGGAGACAGCTACCTAAGAGAATGAAAATACTTGTTTAAGTTAAATGAAGTATTTTCAAAGGGGGGAAATGTTAGAGAGGGTGAAGTTTTTGCACTAAAATAATCATATAAAATAGTAAAATGATTATATTTGAGAAATTTATAAATCAATAATGAGGCTTTGTATATTAGAAGATGTTGTAACTTTGCCATTTTGTATCATAGTTACTCTGTAACTAAATGTTACAATGGTAGTCTTGGTAGCAAGAGCTAACATAACTGTATATGGTGAGGGGAGTAGGGGTGTATGTATTGTAAAACTCTACCCAAGCAGAACCTAAGTTTAAGATAGCCAAAAAGGGGATACCAGAAGCATCCTGGTGAAGATAAGAGAATGCTAGCGTCCACAAGACAATTGGGACCTAGCCAAGTAGAGAAAAGGTGAAGAGGACAACCTGAGGAAGACTTCTTACTTCATCTGAGGAAGACTCCTTACTTCATCAGGGCGACCACCAGAGGGGGGCTGCGCAAGCGCAAAGGAGGCTGATGTCGTAATAGACTGATGTAGCAATCCTTGATGCATATGTATTAGTCAATGATGTAATCTGTATTGAATATGTATTAGTTACGAAATTTTTAGTGTATAAATTGCAAACGCGATGTGACGGGAGTCGGAACCAGATTTGGGTGCCTACCCCTGGTTCCCGGCGCCTCAATAAAGCACCTCATATAACCATCCCAGTGGTTATGTGTTTGTCTCGACGCTAACAATGTTTAAACTTTTACTATACATATGCAATATTTAAAATGTTCAATACTTAAGCTGTTCATTTGCTGCAGACCACCACTTTTGGAACCTGCATAGCAGAAATATAGCCATGATGACAATATTTCTGTGTGATTTCAGTCTTCCATACAGTTCATCTATAAAAGCAGAGTTTAATATAGTTTAGAACCTGTTTTTGATAAGCCAAACATCATATAATAAAAATTAGGAATCGAACTCATCAACAATTCTGTTGTGTTTTGGCTTTATACTTTTGACCAAGGTTCTGTAAACTGAAACAACTCTGATACTAATAAAAAAAAATATATATCCTTCATCTTAAAATGAAGATATAGATAGGACAGAAAATCAGGGGGCAATTTTTAAGAAGAGTGGGTATGTTGTATTTTAAAAGATGGCTATAATGAACATATATCAGGCATAGTTAGAAAGAAACTTGACTTACAAACACAGAAACAATGTTCGTGTCTAAACAAGGCATGACTGCATTTCATTATTTGCAGGGGTACTTAAGAAACTCCACTACTAATGACCTTGACTTCACACCAACAAATAACTGGCCTCATTAGTTAAGAAAAACACAGCATGCTCAGGTAAGGGGTAAAGAGACAAACTGTAGATGTTGGCTAGTTTCACTGGATGCTTGTATTTGACAACGGCACACAGACCACGTGAGGAAGCTCCCGTTCTCAGATCACCCACTGCACTGTGCCAGCACAGCTGTTAGTGAAGCTCCACTCATGCTGTGATGCCACATGATAGTTCAGCTCCATGATTCAGGCTGTCAGGCACCCAGGTGTGAGGGCACAATGCAGTGGGAGAACCAAGGGCACTAACAGTACCGTATGGCCACTTAACTCGCTCTGCTTTCAAATAAGAAGTACTCACGTAACCTGTGCCAGAAAAGAAATCAACATTTCTTTTCCTTCTGTGTAAAGTAATCAGTTTCACTGCTTTGAACTTGGTCACCCAGACTGACATCATTAGGTAAGTATCTTGCAATGAAATCTTACTGCAGCATTTTAAAAGATTAAGGAGGCAAGCTTAGGACAAAACACTCACTTAAATAGCTGAAGCCCCCTGAAATTTCTTCAAATTAAGTTATCTTTACTTTCTTTTGGAATGTCCAAAAGTTGGTTAACTCTCATGCATTTTATTCCATACAGTGTTAAATTTTAAATTGAGCTAGTAATACCAGTATTATTACCACAGAGAAAAACTACTGGTTTTAGTGAGATAAGATACCATATCTTATTTGTTAGTAACATCAGTTTCCTTTATGCTTCTTTGAAAAAGTGTAAGAAAACAAAACAAACTCCAGAAACTGCACTGTAGCACTGAATAAAAACAGGAATATTTTCATATACGCAGCCGCACTCTGTGCAGCAAGTGCCGTTCAATAGCAGCATTGCTCATTAACCCCATATACATGAGGGCATTTCAACAGCATTACTGTTAAACAGCAATGTCAGAATACTTCAGTAGGTGTTGAAAACATACTGTATAGTCAGATATCCCATCAAATTCTTGTTACACATTGTACTCCTGTTTTAACAATGAGTTTTCAAAACTTCCCAAGGCTTGACAGAACAGAAGCATATTTATACTGTAAGACTTAAAGTTTCACCTTAATAAAAATATCACATTATTTCTACTGATATTTCTTAATATATATTTCATTTTTAGTTCAGCTAATGCACAGGTCTTTTTTTAATGCTATGATAGTATCTCGTACATAAACAAAAACAATTATGCTTTTTGCATACCATTAGTTTCTGCAAATTTCTGAATATCAGCCAGAGTTTTCAGTTCTTTCCTTGGACAAGCGGACACACACAATGCAAGAGACTTGATCTTCTGGTGTACTAGATCAATGTTGCATGGATCCAAGAAGAACACATACCTAGAGAACAAAAAAAAGTAAATTACTTACATTTTAATTAACAATTACACTGAACAAAATCAATTTCATTTAAAGTTAAAGGCTTCAGCCAAGACCAATCTTCAGTCTATCCAGAAACACAGGAAATTTTATGTCATAATGGTGTGGGTCAAAAGAATTCACACACTCTGCATATGCATCTCAAATATATGAATATTTATATGCTTCTGGATCGTAAAGAAGGGATGTTTAATTCTATCAGATTCAAGTCCAATCACATGGTGCTGCTCATAAAACCAACAGCACTTCCCATGGCTCTTCACAGATACAAGTCCAAACACTCACAAAGCTCCAATCTTGAACTTCAAGATTTCCAACTTTACCCAAAAAGACTCAATAAACCCTGTAAGGTTATACTCACACTGCAAAAAGAACAAAGTTCATGGCTATTTTAATGAACACACATTTCACTAGTAATTAAGAACACCTTTTTTGTTTGGATTGATTTTCCACACTACTGCACCATATGACTGAGCAGACTACTTTGACACTTATTTTGAAAGAAAAATTGTTCAGATATTTTAAGTAGAACTATATAATGCTCATGTGCAGTATTTTAAAGAGATTCTATTTGCTGAATTTTCATGATGAGGCACTGTCATTTAAAAACCCAGGGCATGAAATAGGTATGATAGCTTCCTAGCTAACATCTTCTTCTGGCTCTATACATTTTATCACAAATGCTAACCTTACAGTACTGTTCATTCATGGTATAAAACAGATGCAGAATGTTCTTCTATTCTATTGAACAAGTTTTTCAAATTCCTACAAATATGGTGATGTATTATGCACTGAAATACTTTTCTTCATATTATCTAGCATCATTATAGGAAAAAACGCTAAACTACCGCATAAAATGCCATTGCTATTCTTGCAGTTCAGATAATGTGAATTCATTTGGTAATGAGTAAAAATCCCTTCTGTTCCCAGAATGCATTTAGGTCATGCCTGAACACTTTCAGTCTATACACTAATTGCTGTTTAACTTTCCCACACAGAAAGACTCTTCTATTACCCAGTTCCAGTACAGAAGAATTATTAGTACATAGTACAGTCTTACTTCTTGGAAGTCCATCAAACCCCATTTCATCTGTATCAAATACAACGTGGCAATAGACTACTTTCATTCCTAAAACATTTTTTCCTTGTCTACACCTCTATGAAAACTATTCAGTGCTATTTCTGTTTTTTTTTTTAATTTAATACACACTATATACCTCAGGACTCCATAGATCATAAAAGTCTAAGGAAGCAAATGCAAACATGAAAATTTCTGTCCACAGACACAGCTAACTGAATGTGAACAATAAGCCACTAATTCCACAGTTCACCTTTGTATCAAGGAAAATACTCCTGAGCTAATACCAAGAAATACAATACTTACGCTAACTAGACGCTCCTGTTGCAGCTTCCTCTTCATGTGGGCAAGTTCCTGCAGTTGCTATTCCATACCATAACGGTACATGGAAGGAGAGCATCCGCTCCTTTGAGGGTATCTGGTCAAAGGAGCTACAAATAAGAACCTACAGAATCAAACCTGACTGACATGTAGTAAGGGAGATTGTGATGGGAATAAAGTTGGTCGGTAAAACTAACCGGCAAGGATATGTGGAGTGCGAGAATTTTTACCTTTGAGTAAGATTATCTGGTTAAGAACCTTGCCAAACCATGCTGCTAAAGAGGAGAGACACACCTCTTGAAAACATAAACCTTGACCATTTAGTGCTAATAAAAAATAAGGGGAAACAAACCCAGTCCATCACAACATTACTGGGCTATCAAGAAACTCCAGGCAAGGACTTTGCAACTGATAAGGATGCAACCCAAGGATGAAGGAAACAAGAGGGGTCAGTGGGACTGTACCAGCTGCTGAGGGAATGTGCATGGGAGAGGATTCAGACAGAAAGAGGTGTAAAAGGGGACAGTTGTGTGTCAGCTGATGTTGCTCAGTCTATTGGCCTGCCCTGTCTTTTTTAGTAAATCCTTTCTTAACTCTGTGTAATTCCAGTCACTAGCCCACTTGCACAGGTGCTGCAAGTACTGCAAGGACTAAGTGCCCGCTACTAGGGGAACCAGCATAACAGATTTCGTGCCAGCAACTGAAGTCAGACCAGCTATTTAGGTGTCCCAGACCTGTGGTGTCTGCTACCAAAGTGAATAGGGTCTCACAGCCAATGACTGGGGAAAGGGAATGGTCTTGGCCACCACCCACTGGGGAGCTAGCAATGTGTGTCCCCAAAAAACAGCTACAGAGGAAAACGGCGCAGTGCAGGTGGCTGGAGCAGGACAACAGGTCACAGCCTGTGTGGTGCTAGCTATTGGCAAGGGCTGAGCATCCACACTTTCCCCAAAGCAGCATGCTCATGTGTAACTCACCAGCCAACTCCAAGATGTACTAGCTGGTGAGCAGAAGCTCTGGGTCCAGGCACAGGGGTCAGGTGGGCAGAGGGGCTGTACTAGTATATCAGGATGCCTGTAGGATGAGTGTGTGTGTTTGCTAGTAACCACCAAACTGGACCAGCTGCAAGCAGGGTGGACCCACTGGGGGGAGTAAGGGAGCCTGAGATTCAGGCAGGGGTGCAGAGTGAGCAGAGGGGTGGCACTGGTACTTAGAGGATGCATAAATGTAGGTGTGCTTGTGAACCAGGAAAGTGTCGTGTTCGACCTTGTCTCTGCCAGCCCACAAGGAGGAGACATGGCTGGCTGTGCTTAAAAGTATTGCGGGTGCTGATGAAGGCAGTGCTTTCTCAGTTGCTGTGGTTAGTAATCAGCTGTACCAGTGTCCTATGTGTACATCCACATTCCTCAAGCCCAGGCAGAAACCCTGGCTCCCAGAATGGATCAGGCTGGGCTCCAGTGGCTGGTCATAACGTTTCTCCAAACGTCCCGTAACACATATTAACTTAAAAAACCAAGTCAGGAATATCAGCATTAACAAGCTAGAATCCACCCATCTCTACTGCGATTCAAACTCAAGGGCCAAGGTATAATTTTATTGGCTAGAAGAACTTAAGAATATTTTGTAAAATGAACACTGCAGTTTTAAATCAAAGCTAGAAATTTAGGAATACAATGCAACTACAGTGTGATGCAGAGCTTTGTCAGAAGCATACTGTATTGGCATATTCTTAAACAAATACATGTAATTCAAACACTGAATTGCATGGTTCAGAGACAGGTCTGGCAGGAGTAAGGCAGCTACAAAGCAAACTCAAGCTACCAAATCCACAGCTTCAATACATGGCCTAGGAAGACAGAAGTAATTTTTTTTTTTTAATTTCTAGCAGCTAAAACAAGAATCAAAATCCTAGGCACCAGTATTACATGGGAAATGTTATTTTGGTTTCAGTTTATAAAGCTTACTTGCTTAAAGTAAGTGATTTTATTGCAGAAAATTCTATACTGTGTCACCACCAAGCAGATTTTGTTTCCCACTAGAAGAATGTACTTCCATGCCTTGTGCTGCAATTTCAGTTATTTAGAATTAACAATAGACTAATTTGTTGACAAGAAAGTAACCTGGATGAGCAATACAAAGACTGAAGTAAATAAATTAATCATATTGTTACACATGTTTCCACACTGCAAACAAAAAATTGTTTGCTATAGGAAATTCAGTATATCAGATTTACAACCTAGGAACCATCTTTATGCATGTTTATGATGTATCAGAGAAGATCCTTCTGCAGAGAAGATCCCTCTGCAGAGATCTTTTGGGTACTGGTGGATGAAAAGCTAGACATGACCCAGCAGTGTGCTTTCACAGCCCATAAAGCCAACCAGATGCTGGGCTGCATCACAAGAAGCGTGATTAGGAAGTTGAGGGAAGTGAATTCTTCCCCTCTACTCTGATCTAAGCTCTCTACTCAATCTAAACCCTCCCATGGCACATCTTGAGGATATTTCCTCTCATCCTATCATTTGTGACCTGGGAGAATTATCTGACACCCACCTCACTACTACCTCCTTTCAGGTAGTTGGAGAGAGCAATAAAGTCTCCCCTGAGCCTTCTCCCTTCCAAACAAAACAATTCAAGTTCCCTTAGCTGGCCTTAATAGGACCAGTTCTCTAGGAACTTCCGGGTTTCATTGCCCTTCTCTGAACCCACTCCTGCACCTCAATGTCTTTCTTGTAGTGAGGGGCTCAGAACTGAACACAGGGTTTGAGGTGCAGCCTTACCAGCACTGAGTACAGGAGGATGATCACTTTAGTAAAGAATGTATTCCTTGTTATCTGTTCTATGAGGGTGGTGAAACACTGGACCAGGCTGCCCAGGGAATCTGTGGATGCCCCATCCCTGGCAAGTTCAAAGCCAGGTAGGAGAGGGCCTTAAGCAACATGTTCTAGCTGAAGATGTTCCTGTCCATGGCAGGGTGGCTGGGCTAGATAATCTTTAAAGGTGCCTTTGAATCTGAAACAGTCTACAGTTCTGTAACTATTTGATATTAAAAATTCACTCTTTTGAAAATCAAGGTTTGTTAAAAGAATCCCTGCAATAAAGGAACAGTAATTTTGAAATTAGCAAAGTCTGGGGCTTTTTTTTTTTTAATAAATAAATAAAAAAAAATAACAAATTTGGCTTCTGCCTGCTAGCTTACTAGACAAACATCCTATTCCCTGTTCAGGCTCATGAGAAATACAGCAGTCTCCTTTTTCCTTGCAAAAACAGGAAGACAAAGCATTACCATTTTGTACACTACCCCTTGATTTTTGAAGCACGATGGCAAATCATATGAACAAGCCTATCTCACCTTCAAGTACTTTGTGCACTTGTATTTGCCAATGTCACTGATTTTCTGGCAGCCTCTGAGGCATCTCTTTATAGGCAAATGAGTACTTTACAGAATAAGCTTTGCTGTGATCTACAAGCATCTTATCACAATAGAGAAGTAAATTAAGTGATCACACCCACTTTAAAGAAATTATGGGTAGGGCATATAGTTTCACTCGAATTCTTTGTATGCATGCTGCAAATGTTTCCTGGATTTTGCTACTACCTAAACCCCACAAATCCTCCTGAGTCAAATGCATTTATTAAGACAGAATTCCACCTTAATGATTCGCTATAGCAGCACATACACGTCTTCTCACACTTGAGTGAACAGCACAAACTGAATTCTGTCCAAGCAGAAATGTATTGGTAATCAAAAACTCAGTTTGAACTTACATTTCAGGGATTTATACTTGGCTGCTATGGTCATCATCTATTTGCAAATAAAAGGTCATTTTTAACCCCTGTATTACTGCCAGAATTTGAAAAGCAAGAAGCTTATTTGAAGCAAACAGGCTTAATGAGAATTCACTGCCAGAGTTAGACTATAATCTTGTGTCTTACACTAGAGCACAGCCTACTAAAGCTGTACTGCGTTCTCTTTGCAAAAATAAAAAAAAATGCCTGAGACCACGCTGTAAAATCCTCCTTTGCAACATTTCTTCTCACTGGTTTCAGTGTAACTGATGCACACAGATCAAATGAAATCTGTGCAAGGACTCTGCTCTTCACCCTTAGCACCCAGATTTCCATATCCACAAAGACCACATCCACTTCACTTCCTCATTACAGTGCCTATGGGTTGCTGTTGTTGACAAGGAAGAAAATGTTATTTTTACAGATGATTTAGCTTTTCTGCCTTGGAAATGAAGACAAAATTACCTTGCAAGCAGAATAAAATGAGAATAACTTCATATTTCCAGAACATGTAGAGCTTAAAGCCCTTTCTCTACACAAACTGAAATGCAGAGGCAAGAAGAAGAGTTTATTTTTACAGTCTGCCTCAAAAATACTTCGACAGAATAGCATTAAATACTCCCACGAACTGGACCTCAGACACTGCAGGAACTCCATCTGCTAGAGGCAGATGCAAAGCAAATAGTTTTTACTGAGAAATTGCTGAGAAAGCAAAAAAAACTACAGGGTGTGAGAGTGGGAAGGATCCCTTGCTTACATAATAACTGGCCTCTTCCAAAGCAGGTATTCTGGACTGTACCAGGCACATCACTGTGAAAAGTTACATAATAGTCTGCCTTGGTAGAAAGTTTTCTCTCTCAACCAAATAGAGACGATTAAATCCCATATGGGTGTATTTATTTATTTGCTTAGGTCATGCCTCCAGCCATGATACTGTCATTAGAAAAACATAATCCTTTAGAAGCTTATTAAGACTTTGATAAGCAACAGGCTCTATTAACAGTGTTTAAAGTGGTCTCTACTTTTATTTGCTGTCTTTCAACCTTCTCTTTAAAACAAAAAAAAATCACTTAGCAGTGGGAAATATTTCTCCTTACGATGGCCTGATTTCTGTCACATGTAGGAGACACACTATGAACTGTTTCAATAAGGCATCTCCACATTCACACCTCAGACACTGTTTCCTTCTAAGTTTAAAATTTTAAATTTTTTTATTTTCTCTCACAACACAGGAATGACAATTTTGTACTGAATCCACCTAATTTTAGGAAGTGCTATATTTTTTTTATACAAAAAGGTAGAAAAACTATCCTCTTGGAAGCTGCGATTAGATTAAAAAGTTATTCTTTTGACAGAAGAACTCTCTAAAAATTTTCAGGTTATTTTATTTAAATCAAATCCTTCTGGTAACACATCAGTTACCTACCCACATTATACCTTAAATCAGATATTCAGAAACCCTTATTATAGCAACTCAAAATAAGCAGATCTTAGGAAAGCATCCTTCCAAAATAATTCATGCAAATAATAGATTTTCTGTTAATTTGAAAGTGAAGTGTGAAGCAAAGGCTATCAGAGTCGGAAATCAAAGTTATTTTAGTTCATAATCAACAATGAAAAAGACATCTTATACCTGTGCTGGTATGTGTTTTAACATGACACTGCTTAATAAGAGCTGTGTTGCTTTAAGTTCTATGCATTTTCTCCACAAGCCACTTATATATATTTTGCTTACAGTTTAAACTCTCATTTTAATGTGTCAGAGTTATCCCATCTACCCCTAAACTTAATAACAAAAAATGAGTATACAGCATCAAAAGCAACCATATCTACATAGGTATCAAAGGCCTGTTCCCAAATCTCAGAATACTTCTTGTACCTAAAACTCAAACAAGATTCTTCAGTGGCCTGATACAGTCTCCTATATAAAGTGGATGCCAAGAAAGGGAAATTCTATCAATATCTTAGCTGTACTTATATCACACATCTGTTAACATATGCTCTCAAAGTAGTACTGCTGGTTAGTACAAAAGACAGTTGTTCTCTAGCTGACAGGAGTGGAGAAGGACAAGCAGTAATGAGTTAGCATATCCCTTTTCCCAGTTTATTGAAAACCACTCTCAAAGGAAGACAGGTTTTGCCTTTCCTGGTTTACAGAATGAAGCAATTGGAATCCCATACTCACTTCTTGTGTGTGAGGTCCAGACCACTGTTGACTATTCCCTCCACCTTTACATTTTTCTGCCCACAAATATTTCCATAACTGTCATATCCTGAAAGCAGTCTCGCAGCTGCTCCTGTAGCTATTGAAAAGCCACAGATAAAACCCTGGAGAAGAAAAAAAAAACCAAAAACATAGTTTAGGTGATACTCATGACATGTGGGAGAAGTCAGCTGAATCCATCTATTTCTAAGTGGAGGTTCTTTAAAAATTCTTTCAGACTGAAAAAGGAAAGACAAGGACAATCCAGAGAACTTTTGTGCAATTATAAAATTGAATGCAGTTTGAAAGACTGAATATTATCCAAGCATAGTTAAGAACCCTGTAGGTGATTGAGAGTCATATTATCAGCAAGTGGTGCATGAAACAAAAGGCAGGAGGCCAAGAGCAGGCATTGGAGAACTAGAAGCAGAGCTGGAGTCGTCAAGGATTAGTATGTACCTTGGAGGATTCCAGACAGCCCAGATTTTCCCACTTTAAGTTTTTCCTGTTCTTTTCCTTCAAATTATGTACTTTCAAAGATAACCTAGAATCTAGAAGTCTATCTGACATAAGTTTAAGGAAATCCTCCAAAGCAAGTGACCAGATCAAGGCCACTACGCTTCCAGCCACTATGCTGGGCTCAAATGCAGGAAAGAAACAGACCCAGAGCAGGGGGATGCAAAACAGCTCAGAGTAATGCTTCCGCGTCAGGGAGGCTTTGCTGAGAACTTTCAGATGTATTTCACTAGCAAAATGAAGATGAAGGCAGTGATTATGCAGAGGACTGTCCCAAAAGAATCATTAGCTCTCTAGTAACACTGCTGACAGGGAGAAGTGAACCATCCGTTCGCTCCACTACCATCAAATGAACTGTTTTTATAGATGAGGCAAGCTAAGATTTCAGAAGGGGAAGCAGAGTAAACAGCTGAGACAAATGTGTGGAGCAACAGATGACATCAACAGGATCAGATGAGATGGTGACAACAGATAATGAAGTTGGCATGAAACGGTTGAAGTATGGGTGATTTTTAAAGGTCTGAAGATACAGGAGAGTGGTCTTCTCTGACAGGCATGCTATCACTATAGAGAAATTCCAGGCAGCAAGCTGGTCATTATCTTTCTCTTGCCAATGCACTAATGCACTCATAGACTTAATATTTGAAGTGTAAACAACAACAAAGTGAGTGAAAGACTATCATACGTAATTAAAGTTATTTCCAGCACTCACTTTCAATTTCTCAGATCCCTTACTACTCTGTAAAGGACATACAAGCATGCATTTTACATATATTAGTACTCAGGTTCTTGACTGGTTCAAAAATTTCTTCCCTATACACAGGGGAAGGGAAATAATGCACCTACCTCCATCTAAGCTAATTTACAACAGTGCAGGGATTGCCCGCCTCACCCATTATAGTACCTGACCTTTCAGATGAAGTCTCCTAGAACAGTAACTAGCAGGATATTTGACCCAATAGGAAAATTGCTCTGTATATCATACTGTTTAGACAGGAAAATCTAGAACACTCACACACAAGAGATTCACAAATAATTGGGGGAACAGGTACATATAGACTGAGTAACCACAGAACATCAACATAGGCAGGAAAAAAAAAACACCATGAAAGAGCTGCTTGCTTCAGGAAGTACTGTGCTTTTTACAATCTTAAGATGTTCACACTACAGTTAGAATATAATTCATATGATTTAAATAAAACACGTTTTTACATTTGAAGCACAGAAAATGACAAACACTGGGGGAAAAGAAATTTTACAGTGGAATAACTCCAAAAACCAGATACCAAGGCACAGCAGAAAAGAAAGCTGACAGCATAGAAGTTCCATACTCCTAAGGGCTACTGCTTGCAACACAGCAGTATAAGATAGCGACAAACATTCCCTGTTTAGGAAGGTACATGAAACAAAAGATGAGAAAAAAAACAGATTGTATTTCTGATTTTCACTCCTCTGCAGCTTTTGAAGGTTGGTTTTTTTAATATAAAGTGCACAGTGTTGTGAGGCTAAGTTGAGAAATACAGCAGTTTCATCATACAGGATGAAACTGGGATAACTTTGAAAGAAAGATCCTGCCATTAGTAATACAGTTATTAATAGTATAACAGCATCCAAGAAAAAACAAGTCGACTTTTTGATATTCACGATTTGTTTCTCAGAAAAAAGTTTACTGAGATGCACAGAACTGTTTACTAGACTCAAAGCTGGACACATACAGTCCCATAAGGAACATGAGTCAAGTGATACCTCACCACGTCAAAAATCCCTTACAAGTGAAACTGGAGTTTCAGGAGAAGGAAAGCCAGAACAATAACTGACCCAAATAATAAGCTATGGATTCCTACCAAAAGCCTTTGATACATACATACTACCTGCTTCTGTTGTACATCTGATAGTTCACATGCCAGTATGCCCTCAACTTACCCAGTGACTAAGTTACTGAAGGGTTTTAAAACTTCTAATAAATGCACAATCTTTAATTATATAACATTCACGGTATTCTTTGAGTTTTACTCACCATTCCTACACAGAAGAGAATAAATAAGAGTAGCCATGGTACATCTGTGCAGCTGTGGTCCTCAAGAGGCTTCCACTCTCGCTTAGAGCTCTTGAGTGAAGAAGAGAGAAGTGAGGTTAACAACACTTTATAAATTGTTTTCTATTCATAACAGACAAATCCAGAAAACAATTATCCAGAGCATTAACATATAGCAGGAGTTATCTTTAAACTCTGACACAGACGAAGCACCTTTGTCAAAGAAATTAAAAAGGCAGGCTCACGAAAGACGCTTCAAAAGAAGCACCTCCATGGGAAGCTAGATCAACAAAGAATTATTTATACAGAAGACAGGTAATTTTCCCAGGAATTTACAGGTATTTATCCACAAGTAAGGTTATTTTCCCCTATTTTTTTATTAACAAAAGCTAATGGCGTGGAATCAACAATATCTGCAGTCTTCCACAACTACTTTCCATTAATCTGCTTTCCAAGAAGGGTAAAAGGTTGAACCTTTCAAAAGCGCTTCAGTTTTAAAACACTACTTACAGGTTTAACAAGTTTTACACACAGTGAATGTAGAAACGAGGTAATAAATTGATGTTAAAGGAACAATTCTCTGCCTGCCAAGAGGCAGCTGAGCTTAACATTTCAGCAAAAAAAAAAAATCCCTACTCAGTATAGCCCAGGTGCCAGAAAGGAAAGTTGTGTACTTAAAGGTTGAAATACACAGTGATGGAGGTTCTATTGCAGAGTATAATGAAGGCACTGTAAGCAATTCAGTTTGCTGCTCCTGAGGTAAAATTTCTCACCTGTGTATACATTGCTAAGATAATTAAAGTCTGTTAAAAACAGTAATTTTTGGCATCTAGGGGAAATCAATTTAAGAAAACAATGTGAGGTTTTTTGTTTTTTGTTTTGTTTTTTTTTTTTTAAAAAAAAGGAGCATTCACTCTAGTACACAGCTAACCACCATAGGAGAATTTGTTTACTGTAACAAGAATATTGACTACAGTTACTTTTAAAGATAGTTACACATACAAGCTTTTTCTATTAGCTCCCAAATACTAACTCTTCACATACTTCTACTAAGACTCAAACCCCACACACATTGTTTTCACACTTGTGGAGGAAGAAAAGGAGATTGATATGGGGAGAGTCCAGAATAGCTCTCTTCAGAGACAGAAGAGGTAACCTATTCAAATTTTTTAATTCTTTTTTCTCTTAGGACTGAAGCATCTCCAAAGCTCTGCTGACAAGGTAGCAAATGTCAGAACTGAATTAAAACAGAATGGTTGGGTAAAATGTCAACAGTTTTTATCTCCAGTATGTATTTTCTCAGATTTTTCTCCAAAAAGGCAATCGCGTGTAACTCATGTGACATTAGCAGGGTGGGTTTTTCTGTATTCATTACTTTAGTTTTTGCTAAATCACAGGCACAAAGCAACCCCTTTAAATGCTACCATTAAAAAACTACAAACTGGGTATAATATAAATGAAATTCTGCATACACCGTAATTCAAAACACACAGTTTTCTAAGTAGTCTGGCTTTGCATTAGGGAATTCAATGTTACTTCTGCAATATTTTATTAAATAACTTCCACCTGAAGATATGTTTGTATTTTTTAACTCAAACTGTGCAAATTCACTCCAAGTTCTGAATAGTCAAACTTCTTTTATTCAATAATCAGTAGTGAGAGATGCTAAAAGATCACACTATCAATTCTACTACATTCAATCAACAAAACTGTCTTCTGATCCTGGTAGTTCACACTTAAAACTAACACACTATTTAAACTTAACATTTACAAGAAGATTGTGACATTTATATTGTTATAATTAGCATAATCATAATTGCATAAAATATGTAAAGCTTAACACTTCTTATTCCTAAATCAACTCCAACTCTGGAATCTTTAGAGATCTACTTTCATGTACAAACAGCAAAGGCTAATTTCAGCTATAGCTGCATCTTATGAGCAAACTGCCCTTGACAAACAGGGGAGCAGTAAGATGCACTGCATACTGTGGTTTGTTTGTTTTGTAACGTTTTCATCCTCTCTACCATCTGCAAACAAAATCTTTTAATAGGATTTTTAAAAGCCACTGGGCATCCTCTGAAATAGCTCTTGCAAAGATTTAGGTTGTCTGACTAGTAACACTTACCATAAGTAATCCATTTTATTTAACAAGTGGACTGCAATTTGTACATCAAAAAGAAACTTGAAATGCCACAGTGTAGCACATTATTAGAAGGTTATGCAGAAGAATTCATTCTATGTCCATAGCCTTTATTCTGATCCAAAACATAATTTAAAGAAGTGGGGGAAATTATTTTAAACAAAAAGCATTCTTGGAGGAAACTCAGAGAGTACCCCGCATACTAACCCCGTATGAAATTATTACCTCCTTAGAAAAACACCTCCAATATCCTGTCCAATCTTTCTTCCTCTCCAGACCTTGCTACAACCCAAGCTGGCTGCCGTTATCTATCTACTGTTTTCTTCTCAGTTGCTTCCTTGTATTCTGGATTCCACTGAATTTTCTTCCACAGATTCGCACCTTTCATCCTCTTCTTTCCTGCTGGTGTCTGTATCTCTCTAGTTATTATTCCCTGTCCTCTTTATACCCTTAGATGTTTACTTAGACCATGATATTCATGCTTAGGCAAGACAAATCACTAATCTACGGCCAACATAAGGTCTAACAGATGTTGTTTGTTTTGCAGCCTAGAAACTATGTTTTGCCTCCATTGTAACTGAACTACCATAAAATCTTAGCAGGCATGCCTCGCCTGCAATCCTAAATCAGCACTTCTACCCATTTCAGCCTTTCCTCTAAAAGCATTCAGTATTTGCTGATGCAAGAAAGCTAAAGAACCTAGAGGAAAAGAAAATTTTTTAAAATTATTTTATTAATTTCAAGTTTTCTCTTTAAACAGAGATTTGGTAATTTATGCTATGCTCTCAGTGGATATTTTTGTCATTAATAAAGAACAGGCCTATCTGTGCACTGTTAATGACAGCACAGATTAACAGGAGCACTATCACTCAAGAGTGGAAGGCAGGCAAAAGAGGCTGTCTCTCCATGTTTCCAAACCTGCAAGTTTCCAAACTTGCAGGTTGGAAACACTTTTTCTGCCCATAATAGCTCTTCTCTGCTGGTTTTAAGAGTTATTTACTCAAGAACCCAAATTACTGTGTTAAGAAGGTGACATATTCCATTTTACAGAAGACTTAGCAAACTCAATGCTTCTCAAAACCAAATAAAAACTGTTGGGTTTGGCATGATTTTACAATTATGTCTTAATACCACACCTAAAAAGTTGGGTGTCTAAAGTTAGGCTTTCTCCTGCAGAAGAGAAGCGAGAAGAATGCCAGCACATTAGCTTTTCTAGTTGAACTCACAGCTACACAGTCTTAAGACAGGAAGTGCTTGTATGGAAACACAAAATAAAAAGGGGCTATTTTCTTGGTAGTCATTGCATCCAACCACTTCAAAACAGAACCAGCCCCCTCCAGATTTCATTGTCCCTGCCACTTCCAAAAATACACCTCTGCAGCACCAAACAGCAGGTCTGAATTCCCATCTCTTCTGCATACTGTAGTATGCTTCTTTACAGGTATCAACATAGCACAAAACCAATGGTTACCACTTTCACTGTTACCGGTAAGATCTGTACTGGATAGTACCATATAAGCACTCATCTGCCCCAGCCAGAGTGTAACACACACATAAAAGCACAAAAAAGTGCAAAAATACAGCATATGAGCAGGAGACTACAGATGCAAAGAGATGCAGCAAATTGTTTTTTAAACACAAAATGTCTCATGCAATGTAAAATTTCAGAGTGATGTGACTGAAGAAGGAGCCAAGTAAAAAACATCTGCAGTACTATATATATAAATAATCAAGCTGTGGGTAAGTAGCAAAGATGTGAATAAGATCAGGATAAGATGGAATTTGCCATCAGCAGAGGATGTTGCAACATCATGAGAGAGGCAGCAGGAAGAAATCCTAAAATCTTGTGGTGATCATCTGATTTAGGAAGAAGAAAACGAAGCTGCTACTGAGACAGATGGGCTGAATGAAGGACAGCCCAGTGAACAACTGGTCTCAGTAACATCCACTGTATGAAAAGAAGAGGCAGGGAGAGGTTAGATGCTAGGCTTTACTTCATCTAGCGAGTTTAAGCTACCAATTGGAGAGTATGGGACTATTACAATTTGCGTATGAACACAGAGGTCATAAGAACAGTCATAGCTTCATTCAGGTAGTTAAGGACAAAAAAATAAAACCAAACCAGAACAGACAAATATAACCCTCACATTCTTTCAGCCCAAAACAAGTCTCAAAAGAGACCCAGGATGAAGGATGTCCCATCAAAATCCTACAAGGAGTCGTGAGGAAGAGCAGTCCTGAAAACTGCTAATACAACTCCAGGACTACCAGACACACTGTTAAGAAAGCCCAGAGAAGTCATTTTTTAAAATGTTCATTGCCAGCAAAGCTAAACAGAGTTAAACTTCATGAGATACCAGTTACATGAGCTACGCTGTTCTGGCTCAGGAGAAGGCTTCCAAGTGCAGGTGCTCCAAAATCCGTAAAGGTACACATACAGGGCAAATTGTTCACTACCTCTACTTGTAAGTAACACTAGATAAAATCTTACGTGCATATGAAAGAAACATAGTAACCCACTATTCTTCTACTTCAGCATTTCATTTAAATTCATGCCACTTCAAGTAAAAAATAACAGAGAGTATGGCAGGAAAGTTGAAACGCACACATTTTGACATTCCCACTTGAAAAGCAGTAAGTTCTTTTGATTTAGTTTTCTTTTTCTTTCAACCTGGTTCTAATGCAAGACAAAGATGATGCAAAACATACAGTTTTCCATTTGCAGGCACCGAGAATATGCTTTTGTACTTCCTGCCCTTAGAAATAGCCACTTTTTTTGTTACTGAATACAAGACACAGCTTTGTTACTTACCCAGCTAAACAATCAGGCCTAGATTTACAAAGTTTTCTCAGATCTTAGTGTACTCGGGCACTTCAGCATTTGACCCATTCTCCCCTTAGCAGCTCATACCATGCTTTAAGGATGTGA